CCCCCCATATAGACCTATATATATAAATGCAAATCTCAGCTGTGTGCTGTTCTAGTCAATTATGCTAAGAATATTCTTTCTACCATTCAAAAGTTTGGGGTCGGTAAGATTTTTAAAAATAGTTTTATCTTATGCTCACCAAGGCTGCATTTATTTAGTCAAAAATTCAGTAAAAACTATTTAAAAATATTTTTACAATTTAAAATAACCTTTCAATATATTTTCAAATAAAATTTATTCTGTGATGGAAAAGCTGAAATTTGCAGGCTTCAGTGTCACATGATCCTTAAGAAATCATTCTAATATGCAGCTTTGGTGCTCAAGCATATTTCTTATTACTATCAATGTTGAAAACAGTTGTGCTGCTTAATTGTTTATTCAAGATTCTTTGACGAATAGTAAGTTCAAAAGTATAAGATTTATTTGAAATATAAATATTTACGGTCACATTTGACATTTGTCACAAACTAATGCATTATAAAAGTATTAATTTATTTCCCCCCAAAAATAAATAAAAAAAAATAAAAAAAATACTGACCCCAAACATTAGTACATTTTTTAAATCTATTTTTTTTATTTTTTTTATTAAAGGATCTCCTTGAAGACAACCAAACATAGCCTAAATGTTAACATTAAAACATCAGTAGTCACCTCTCAATCTCAATGCCAATGTCATGATCTCATGAAAACACGTTAACTACAACATGACACCAGTCCTCTGCATATGGATTTTGTTCATTCTGAGTGTACTTGGCTTGTCAAGAGGTGGACAATTCTGAGAGCAAAAATGCATTAAGGGTTTAACACACTTATATTAGATGACCGGCATACTGACACGGCACTGAGCATCAACAAAGTCATTTGACTTCCACTCATATCTCTGCTAATCCGCAAAGGCAAATGACATAATGGTATGGAATCTGTGAAGAGACGGTCAGACAATGTTAATATAATTAGCGTCATTAACATTCCTGCAGCTCGTTATTAATGTTCAGGTGCCGTCCTGTTGAGTGCATAACTGAAATCGATCATTAATCCAGTGAATGAGTGTGCAAGCAGATGCACTCAGACTTTGACATCACAAGGTCAATGTGCAAAGCAAATTCATCATGACTCAAGTCAACGCTCACAATATACTGATGCTCTACAGTCATTTTCACCTTTTAAAACACCCATCTGAATTATAATACAAACAGTACTAAGTATTCAATAGGGCTGGGCAATATTAAAAAAAATATATATAAATTCTGTATAAATGCCGATACTTTTTATGATATTTTGTATATTTTAGATATTTTTTTTTTTTGCCAGTTTCTCTTGAAAAAGTTAAAATGGTATTTTTTTCTCTTTTCTTCCATAAAAAAGATATGATCTGGATAAATCAGCTATTGTTACAAAGTATATACTAACTGTTTACTGCAAAATCAGCATTAGTTAAAAAAAAGTGACCACATATTTCTTTTTACTAAATTAACACAAAATGAAAAGGTATCAAAGGTAGCCTGATAGTACCAAAATAAAAATATGAAATATGAAAATTATACAAAAAGTTGTGGTTGCTGCAACAGCAAAGCGAGTTCTATAACAGAACAAGAGGCAGATCTTTGTCCAATCTGTCAGTCATGAGACAAAAAACTAGAGTGAAATTGGTTTTTAATATTACCATGATATACACAATATTTCCAAGGTTGATATTAGATATTGCTATAATATCGCTAATATTCACAATATATGTATTGCACAGCCTTAGTATACAAATGTCCTACATTATGGACTAAATGTTAAACTGTTGTACCAAAAAGTACAATAGACCTTAGTAAGAGTAGGGCCATATTTAATTTTTGACTGGAATGAATTGCATAGTTTTTGACTATGCAATTATCAACTGATTTAATATGAACTGCCAACGTGTCCCAGTAAACAAGCATTAACGTGTGTAAGTGCACAGAAGGGCATGTTTCAGTAAGGTCATTAATGTCTGTAGAATGACTGGGGCTGCAGTTGGAAATCATGAGGCCTTTGGCACAATGGGATTATCTCCTATGTGTGAGTAAGAAATGAATGTCTCTATGAATGTTAAACAGTCCTGAGACCTCCTGATCTGAGGATTATGAGCTCTGAATAGCTCCATTTAGCTGCGGTAGCATCACAATGTAGACATGCGG